ATAAAGAAATGAAAGAGTGAAAACAAACTCTGAAGAAACGCATTTCCATTAAGCTATTTGAAAACCCATGTATGATATAATGCATAAATGAAAATTAAAACTCTCAAATGACTTGAGATTTTCATACTTTTTCGTTGGAGAAGAGGAACGGTAGTGGATTGTTTGGTTTGGATCTAGAGAGAAAGAGAGAGCTTTTGTTTCTCTTGAGAGAAAGACAGAGAGTGAGTGGCGGCACTGAGGAGGGAATAATAGAAGCTACAATTCAAGCTAGGTTATTTTAGAATGAAAAATTACAAAAATGCCCTTGCTCTTAACAGGTTAACGGGTGATTCGCGAATGATACTGACACAACCCGTTAGCTTAACGGGTCGTGTCCTATATTGCCGGGTCTACTTCCATTAGATTTAGCTGGGCTGGTGATTGCTTTGGCAAACTATTTTACCTTCGATTTCTTTTCACCTAGTAGGATACTGCCCGTGTATTTATCATTTTTTGTGATATTATGATTGATTTGGTTTGCCTAATTTTGATTTTGCTTAATTTCTTTTTGGATAGTAATTCCTTTATTTGATTTTTATTAAATATACTCGCACAGTCAAGATTTGAAAAAAAACAAAGTCATTTTTAAAAAGGGCCGTACACGACGGGAATTCACCATCGTCTAGCAAGTTTTCTAACCATCGTGAAATTGACCGATATATTTTTAAAAACAAAACCACGATGGTGAAACAGAGACGTTGTTCGTAAAGAAACAACGTCGGAAAAATAAAAGCCGACGTAAAAGTAAAGAAAATGACCACCAAAATAACTAATTGTGAACCATTAAACGATTCAATTTGGGAAACAACCATCGTCTAAAGAAACAAACATGAAGTTGTTTAGTAAAATACCGCCTCAAAAAAAGCCACCCCGTCATAAACAATTAACTGCATGACGTTGATGAGGACATTCCACGACACATGATGAAATATTACATCACTTTTGTTTCCAGATATGACGTTGAAAAGGTTGTACACCGTCAGTCTTAACTCAGAAGTTGACGTATTAAAAGACGTACACATGTCTATTAGTAATCAGAGACGACGTTAGGAGAACAAACCACGACACCTCTTTGTCCACAGAAAACATTGTTTTAGTACATTTCACGACACATGGTCAAAAAGTTGACGTGAAAACTGTTAATGATGTCAGTAAATATGGCAATAAACAGGTTCGTACGTCTCTTTTACTTTAAACTCTGAAGGTGAAATAAGATTTACAACGTCAGTTATTATAAACACCGTGTTGTTTGTCGTTCTACAAACGTCGTATAACCTATCAACACTGATGTGGTTACTATCTACTACGTCATCTGTGTTAAAAAGACGACGTTTGTGTGTAATATTGAATGACACATTGTCACCAGGAAGACGTGAAAACTATTAATGATGACAATAAATATGGGAAGAATGAAGTTTTTATGTCTCCTTTACTTTAAAACGTCGGTAAGCATATAAAATGCCACGTGGTTACCATTTTCTACGTCATTTTTATTTCTAAAGACGACATAATTCATTTTCTCACATTTTTGTTTGTGAGGTAAGACGACGGTATATTTGTTACGAGGTCGTTTTATCTTCTTTTAAATGTCGTCTTTTTTGCCTTCCACGTCGTGATATCCTGTAACAACGGCTTTTCGTTACCGTCGTTGTTTTATTATTATGTGCAGTCTTTTGAGTTAAATTTTAGACGGCGGTAAGTACATCGAGGCCATCTCATTGGAGATGTACGACCTTTTTAATGTCCTTTTTTTTTTAAACCGACGTCTTTTAGCATTTTTATCTTTGTTTTTTATAGGTTTAAAGGTCTTCCATTGCAAGACGTATGATAAAAAAAACGACGTCTGATATTGTTATGACGTCTGTTTTTGCAATAATGTTAATAGGATTGTCATATTTTGGTACTTGAACCAGATTTGTTTATACTAAAAGCTTTGAGCCAAAACCCAGTATAATGAAAGTGAAAAAAATGCAATACAATTTCTTACAAAATTAATGTCATAAGCGTAAGTAATGTCATAAATTACAAGCATCATTCAATCCATATATCTTCACACACATCTCGAATATTTTGACTCCCAGACTCACAGGCTAATTCGTCAAATGTGTCAACATTTGGTATCCCTCTAGTAAATGGCTCATACTTAATTCTCACATCACCTAAGACATCATCACCAATAACATCATTATATTCTCTATTAAGCACTGATAACACTACTGACCAACCATGATGCATTGGGTCATCAACAAAAACTACTTGTTTGACTTGAGAAGCCATAACAAATTGGTCATTCCTATGTCCAATTTTACTCAGATCTACAAGGGTAAATCCAAGTTCGTCAACTACAAGGCCAGAAGTGCTATCTATCCAATCACACCTAAACACTGTGATTGTAAACTTTTGGTAATCAAGGTCCCAAATATCTTGAATGACACCATAAAAACCCATATTTGAGACAATTGGGTTCTTATCCTTGGCACAAGCAACTTGCATAGTATGTGCAAGTAAATAAACTCCACTATTTTGAACTGTACGTACATCATCTTGTGCCTTGGTGTTAAATTTAATACCTTTGATAAGATAGCTCCTATATGATGGCTCTGCCATGCTTGGACCAGCTACTAGCCACCTCAAATTTTCTGATACACCATTATTGTCTTCCCCATTAAGTTGACTTTGAACCTACAAATGAATCATATCTTAATTCAATCTAACATAAAAAGAAGAAAATTAAAAGTGCAATATGTTATTCAATTTCATATACCTTAAAGCGTAGCCATTGAATGAAAGTGGTATTGTGCTTATCTTGTAGCCACTTTGTTCTCTTTCTAAATTTTGGATAAGTGGTCTTGATGTGGATCATATGTTCTCTACATAACACGAAAAATTCAAGCATTATAGTCCCAAACATATAACATAAACATAAGGAATATAATTTAAAATGACTACTTAAGAATAAAACTCATACTCGATATAAGGTAGAACTTCCTCCGTATTCTCTAAGACATATAGATGTGCCTGATTCAACGAGTCCCGATCAACTAAACTCACTGTGCAACCTGATAAGAGCTTTGAAAGTCCCATCTTCTGGCTTGATGGCACTCCAACTATACTAACATAAGATAAATGCTCGGTGCAAAACTTTACAGCTTCTTCAGCTATATACCGCTCAGCAATGCAACCTTCAGGATGATTACGGTTCTGAACATACCCCTTTAGCACTTTCATATATCTTTCGAACGGATACATCCATCTAAAATAAACTGGCCCACATAGATGAACTTCTCTGACAAGATGTACTACTAGATGAACCATGATATCAAAGAATGAAGGGGGAAAGTACTTCTCAAGCAAACACAAAGTTACTACTACATCTTCTTCCAACTTATCTAGCTTGGAAACATCTACTGTCTTTGCACATATAGCATTGAAGAAGAAGCACAATCGAGTTATTGCATACCTTGCAGGCTTCTTGAGGACAGAACGAATTGCCACAGGGAGCAATTGTTGCATCAAGGTATGACAATCATGTGATTTAAGCCCAAGAAGTCTTGAATCTTGTAATGATACAAGATTTTTAATATCTGAAGAGTAACCTTCAGGGACCTTCATACCATAGAAAAAATTGCAAACTTCTCTTGACAAATTCCAAGGCCCTAGAGGCAAGCGAGTACGTCTTTCTCCATACTCGGGTTTCAAATTAGTCTTGACCCCCATGTTCAATAAATCCAAACGAGCAGCAATCTCATCTTTATTTTTTCCAGGGATCGCCAACAGCGTACCAATGATACTATTGGAAATATTTTTCTCGATGTGCATAACATCAAGGGCATGCCTCACAGGAAGGTATTTCGAATACTCGAGATCAAAGAATTTTGACTTCTTCTTCCAACAGACTTTGTCACCATTATTTTCACTTCCACGTCCCCCTTTTTTCGAGCCCCATTTATAATTAATACCTTCAACCATTTGTAACACTTCTTCTCCGGTTAATGGCTTTGGAGGCGTGTCATATTCAAGTTTCCCATTAAAAGTTGCACGTTGCCTCCGATATGGATGATATATTGGTAATCATTTTCTATGCCTGATGTAACATATTTTGTTGCCATTTTTCAACCTGTGACTAGGTGTATCATCACCCCATATTAGACAAGCTTTATATTCTTTTATGATACAACAAGATAAGTTTCCATAAGTGGAAAAATCATTAATTGTCCACAGTAATGCAGCTCTGAGTGTAAAGTATTCTCCTATATGAGCATCATACACTCCTTTAATCCCATCCCACAAAGATTTTAAATCATCAATCAAAGGCTCTAAGTAGACGTCTATATCATTTCCGGGTTGTTTAGGACAGGAAATCAATATGGTCAACATCATGAACTTTCGTTTCATGTATAGCCATGGTGGGAGATTATATGTAACTAAAATAACTGGCCAGCAACTGTATCTGGTACTTAGAGAACTGTGGGGATTGAATCCATCAGATGAGAGAGCCAATCTCAAGTTTCTCGACTCATTACCAAACTCGGGCCATTTATCATCAATGAGTTACCAAGAGGGAGAATCAGCCGGATGAGACATCTGACCTTCAATTGCTTTTCTATCAGCATGCCAAGTCAAACTCTTAGCTATCTTGCGTGATTGAAACATCCTTTTAAATCTTGGAATTGGTGGAAAATACCACACTACCTTTGCTAGGACACTCTCTTTCAAGATTGAATTTTTGTCTTCCTTCCATCTTGAGATTCCACAAGTAGGACAATGAGTTGAATGCAATCATTGGGGCATGCGTGGATTTTCTCATAACTCAGCCCCAATGCACACAAAGTCTTTTTTGCCTTATACATAGAGGAAGATATTGTATTTCCTTATGGAAGCAATTCTCCTTGAAGTATCAAAAATTCTATAAAATAGACATCGCACATCCCATGTTTTACCTTCAAATTATATAACTTCACTTATGCTGACAACTTGGTGTACATACTACAACCAGGGTACAAGGGTTGATATCCATCGCCAATCACATTGGTGAACTCATAAGGATCAGATCCAAAATCGCCTAAATCATTATCATCCATCTCTATTTCATCACACACAAAACTATACCTACTATGTTCATCATCTTCTTCCATATTTCTACTAGCATTAGTAGTTGCTTGCCAAGGTTCTTCGTGAAATGTCCAATTCTTATAACTTTGGTCAACTCCATTAAAGTATAAGTGGTCCCTTATAATTCCAACCCCAAACAATCGAACATTCCCACATTTAACACATGGACAGTGAATATGTGTTGTGGTTAGAAGATTTTCTATTGAAAATTTCAAAAATGCTTCCACCCCTAACTCATATGCCTTCGATCTTCTATCTGCGTGCATCCATGACTTATCCATCTCCGACAAATACCCTATTATTTATAATAAGGTGAAAAGACAAGCAATGACAATCACTACAACATATTATAATTACTTTGATAGAAAGTAATTTAACATAAAGACAACGGTTTTTTAAAACATATGACGTTTTATACTTCTACAGACGACGATTTTTTTAAAAACCGACGTTTGAAGCTATTAAACAGTGATTCTGGACACAGCAATACAAACGACGGTAGTTAAATAAACACCGCCTTGTAGATAAATAAAGACGACGGTTTTTAAGAAAAACCGTCGTCAAACTCTTAAAGAAAAGGAGGCTAAGTCTTCTTTTATTCAGACCATTTCCAAGAACCCAACATACGTTAACAACCCATAACATTGAATTTTTATGAAAAGCATGCAAATATTAAAGCCATTCCCCATTCATAACAACAGAGATTGATGAAGAACATACCTACGAAAACATTTAAAAGATCGCGAAATATATATCTAAAACCCAACAATGCAGTCTATGATTTCAGAATAATCTTCTAAACCCTAAACATATATCTAAAGCCATTCCCTAACCCTATATGTTTGTACTTCAGAACCCAGAACTGAATATCAATCAATGAATTAAGAAGAAAGATATTAGGTTTTGTACTTACAGGCAGCATAGCTCACAGATTATGGCCTCCTTGGATAGAGTTGAGTGGAGAGAGGAAATGTAGACTTGGAGCGAATTTGAAAATTCAGGTGCGAGGCAAATTTTGTAGAACGCGCGCTTCTTCAAACATCGACGGAAAATCATCACAAACCGTCGTTAAAACAGTTGTGTTTAATATATGAAAACGACGGAGTTTACTAAGTTTTGTTAAGACGTTGGTTAAACATTAAAACCAACGTAGCATGCACTAATATTATTCCTGGATGTGGATTTGCTGGGATTCGAATGCTTGTGCGCAAGGGCCAGAAAAAAAAATAAACCATGGCGTCATTACTAACCCTAAACATAAACCCTAAACATTAATTTAAATTTGTAAAAAAATGTAAAAAGTTTTAGGGTTAGGCGGTCCATAAACTAACCCTGACCCTAAAACCACCCTAAACCCTAAACCCTAAACAATAATATAAATTGTACAAAATACAAATGTTTGAGAAAAATAAATTGAACATTGCTATGAACTCCTTACGACAATGCAGTCTAAATTAGATTGCTAACAACCTGTATTTATATATATATATATATCCCCACCAATGAATGACATAGGCCATATGTGTTTGAAGAAACTATAAGGGATGTTGTGATTTATTTGTTTATGTGGACATTTTTCATTTTTATAACTCAAATTACATTTTAAAAGCTTTAGGACAAAGAAAATATCTTAATGACTGCATAGGAGTTATGGGTGTGTTTTTTGGGAAATTTTAAAAAGTTATTATGAATATAATGAATTAAGGTCAATAAAAATTGTTATAAACCCAACAAACCACATCGGTTTTAAATACATATACCGACGTTGTATACATGTTAAACTTCGGTATTCATATAGATACCGACATTGTAAATAATTACGACGTCATAGGATTAGGATGTTGTTTCGTTTCTCGTACGTCATCTATGATACTAATCGATGGGGGTAAAGAGCTAGACATCACACAGCTTATAGATAAACCGACGTTGTAGTTAGTTCAAAAGTAGAAAATCAGTCAAAACTGCACTAAATAAGATAGAAGACGTCAGGCCTATATACGCGCGTAAATAAAATAACGTCGTTGTAGTATTTGACTAGACGACGTTATTAAAAGGGATGTCGTTGAAATTGCATAGACATCATTTGTTATCAAGTTATCGATGTGGTATTTGCTTCATGGCTCTTTTTGTGTTAGCAACGTCGTTTATTGTCTTTTAAATGTACCGTCGTGTTACAGGAGTTTACATGTCATTATTGAATTACGTCATTTGTTTATTTTCAAGTTTCATATGACGTTTGTTGTTGAAACTATTATGTCGTTGGAAGGGTCTTCAGACGACGGTTTACGGAGTTACTTTAGTTTTTTAAACTGAAAACCATTTTTTATTGACAACCAAAAAAACATATACATTATACCTACACCATGTACAAAAATTGTCTATTCTAAACAAAAAAAAATGTTCCATTTTCATACTTGGTTATAAAATCCTCTACTCTTCATATGAAGGCGAACAAAATCTGCCATTCTTTCCTCACTTCTCAATGGCTTTTGGGGGTATGGTGCTTATCTTTGCCATTTTCAAACTGCAATCAATACACATAATTAATTAGCATTCCTGATTGGTTGTTATAGGATCTATGGCAGAGTAAATAGAATTACCATCGTGGTATTCGATTCAACCGACGGTAATATCTATTTTCTGTCGCGCCACTTACAAACCCACAGAAATTAAACCTAAAGTTTTCCATTTACCTTCTTCTCAAAACTCCAAAAAAAGGATCTCGATAGATCTCTCATAAAGCGTCTGACCTAATGCCACCACTCTACCTGCTGGGTTGCTTTGGTGTGGCCTTGTGAGTTTCCCCAATAGGTGCTTTACACCTTGGCCTGCGTATTGTGAATTTCATCTTGATAGCCTTTTCTGCAACAAAGGGTATTTTCCAAAAACAAAAAAAAGAGGCAACCAACACAATGACTTGGTAGATTCAACTACGTTCGCTCACTATGTTTCTGTGTCTGCAACTCGTCATCACCACCGTTGTCGGGTAGTTGATCCAGAAAATACCATCTCCCTCCTTGGTCTCCCTGAGCACGACCATGACAGGTAAAAAAATAAACATCGTGTTAAACAGTTTTTATATACACTACATCATACAAGAAAATCATGTTGACTAACTACCCTGGATTGTAGGCATAAGAAAATCTGTTCCCCATGCTGTCTTTTTAAGTCGATTGCTAACAAACGTGATCTTTGAGTTATGATCTAGAGTTAGCACTAACTTCGCGGTGTCAGCAAGCCAAACCATTTCCCCTATTTGTTGTTTTCAATACATCAATAGCACCTACATATATAAATGATGTCATGAGTTTTCTAATTTTTTTTAAAGAAAGGAGTGTGAAATGACAATGATTATAAGGCAAACCTCATGTATACCACAACCACAATAGCCCCATTTCATCCATAGCTGCAAACTGTGTAATATCTTCAATCAAGACGAAGGTTTGACGCTCAAAACCAAACACCTCCTTCTCAATAGTAAATATCATAGCCTCTCTGAACCTTAATGTCGTCTCATATAACGACAAAGGGCTTGTAACGAGATGGCAAGACTAGGTTTGAGTAATCGGTGCTTGTTGTTCCTTCTCAAAAACGTCTAAGCACTTGTCTTTCTTCTGCTTGAAAAGTGACAAAACCAAAGTAAACTACACAAACTTAATGACTGGTAATCGAGATAAAATGACGGGGAAGATCAAAAACGACGTGGAAATTAAATATCCATGACGGCAAGTGAAAATCGTCGTCGTATGTACAATTACGTCGGTAGAACACAGAGCACTAGAAACTAAAATTGCCATATCAATTTAAAAGCATGCTTTAGACTAAAGTACAAATAACAAAACATGCGAGCGAGAAGAAAGAAGAGAGAGAGAGAGAGAGTAGATTGAAAAAAAAGAAGACCACGATTTGAATCCGCCCTATCGTCGTGGTAACTAGAATCCAACTATTTAAAAAATACGTACTATGAAGTTAAACGCGGTTTACGAAAAAAACCGTCACCTTTAATGACTTTATTACGTTGTATAAACAAAACCCCTCAAAATTAACAAATGAATTACAAACATCAAAGCCTGCTTAGCAAAATGGCTATACCATCAATTGCGATCAAGAGAGAGAGAGAAAAGAGATTTCAATTCAAATTTCAGAGATTAACCCAGGTCAAGCTTGCTGTTTGCATGCCTTGGTTTCCTGTTTAAAACAATAATATAGATACGACAGCTTGTACGCGAATGAAATACTGCACAAACTCCGTCGTAGGTACGGAAGACACACTACGTTAAGTACAAGACAATAGCGTCTAATTTAAATTGCTACAATGGTACATAAAAGACGTCTTGTGGGGTGTTTCTAACGTCTGTATTTAAGATACACACGTCTAATTGGTTGTAGGCAGAGTTCTACAGAAGTTACATTGCGTCGTTCTTCTTTTCTTCATCTTTGGGCATTTATCATCCTCAAAAATTAGGGCTCTGACATCCAACGCCCCAGAGCAGCTTGCTTTATTCTAACTTGGATTTTTTGGTCTTGCCAGGAACTTGGAAATTGTCCATTTCAGCATTCGTTGGATCCAAATTTGGAATTAAGTTGCGCGCTGATTCAGCAAATTCAGCAAAAACTTTTTCGACGGTTATAATGAAAAATCATGATTTAACGGTTATTTTAACTCCGATTTTGATGATTTTTACCGCTACACTCCTCGACCCTATAGGATACAATGACTGAATTGATCTTCAATTTAAAATAGTTACCTAGTGATACCACAAAATCTTATGTTATTTAACGAAAGTATAAATAACTCTAATTGTTAGTGAATATATTGTTTTGATGGCATACGCATTCTAAGAAACTAGTTTCAACGATCCAACCGTCAAACTTGTTTGTTTACTTCGAGATCATCTACACCAAAAATCGAAAAAATAAACCTTCAGAGATAAAGTAACGGGACAAAAAATTTCGACGGTTATAAATGAAAAATCATGATTAAACGGTTATTATAACAACCATCATCTTTACATATAATAGACGACCATTTTTTGTCATCTTTATAGATAATAAACGTCATCTCTTTATATATAATAGACGACGGTTTTTATAAAAAAAGCGTCATCTTTACATATAATAGACGTTTTTTTTTATAAAAGCGTCATCTTTACATAATAGACGACGGTTTTTTTTCTTTTTATAAAGCGTCATCTTTACATATCATAGACGACGGTTTTTCGGTTTTTATAAAAAAGCGTCATCTTTACATACAATAGACGCCGGTTTTTTCGGTTTTTATAAAAGCATCATCTCTACATATATAGACGACGGTTTTATAAATCGGCATCTTTCCATATATGACGTCGTTTTAAAAAAAAACGTCATCTTTACACATAATAACTACGGCTTTTAAAAATCGTCCTCTTTACATATAATAGACGACGGTTTGTGTTAAATTCGCGTCGTTACATATGTATCGACGGACGGTTTTATAAAATCGTCATCTTTACATATATAGACGACGTTTTAATAAAATCGTCATCTTTACATATATAGACGACGGTTTTAAAAAAAATTCATCTTTTACACAAATAGCGACGACGGTTTTTATAAAAATCGTCATCTTAACATAATAAAAGGACGACTTTTTAAAAATGCGTCTTCTTTAATATAATAGACACGGTGTATTAACAAAATCGAAATAAATTCTGATAATAAAATACTGCGTAATCGACGACGGTTTTTAAATATAGGGTATGAGTATAAAGGGAATACAATACGACGTAATTTTTAATACGTCGTTAAATTAAAAAACAAACGTGGTGAGTGAGATTTAAGATACGTTCGTAGAACTTACAAGAAAGACGTCGATATATTTTTATTTCCGTCGTTGTACATAATTTAATACGGCGATATTTTGGTATTTGTACCGCCGTGGATTTATTTGTAAATTATATGGCGCCTTATACGAAAAACGTGGTCGTGTTATTTTCTGCGGAGTTTTATCGCGCGGCTTTTTGAAATCGGGCGGCACGTCTTTACGTTTCAGAAACCCACCCATCCGGCGATTCCCACCCCCTCACCGTGGGTTCTGCCGTCTTTTTTGTGGGCTTTGCTTTCTTTTTCCTGCGCGAAAAAATGGGTTGCTTTTGCAAAAAATTGCAAAAAATAATGCGTGTGATAGAGTCGTCTGTTTTTTGCGGGGTCGTGTCGTTGTTATGAATGAACCTGAACAAAAAAACACCCCTATGAATTGGGATCGGATCGCATCCCTTTTTTTTGGTTTTTTCGAGTGTTATTGTTTTTTTACACGGCGGTTATTACACGGCGGTTTATAGAACCGTCGTCTTTTTAAAAACAACGACGGGTATTTGCCACTTAGACCGTCGTTTTTTTTTCTGAGTCGTCTTTGTCACTTTGTGTAGTAGTGGCTTGCTCAAATTTTTAGAGTTTTGCCGTGAATGAACCGTGTTCACGCAAGTTCTTTGTGCACTTGATGGATCAGGTCGGTGGTTGTGGGCGGCGCAACGCAAAATTGTTTCGTAGCGCAATATTTATAAAATAATTGTGATGAATAAAAAATAAAACATTATTTTTCCTTTGAGTTGATTACAAATATAAATAAGTTGAGGCGAGCCAAGATGTGGTTTTCGTTCTACGGTCGCAGAGAAGCTTAGTAATGGGACAGAAATCCCCTAATTAGTTTTAACATATAAAAAAATCTTTAAAATAAGTGATAAGGGTTAGCACAAAAATATCGACATTCGTGAGCAAAGGTTTTTCGAAACAGGAATAAAAACGTTAGGAAACAACTAAATAAAATTAATTTGGTTTGCCCCGTCCCCGGTGCGTTTACATTATAATCCTGCTATTTGGTTTTTGCCTAATGACCCTAGTTATATTTTGTGTCAAAAAAATTATTCATGATAAAGGTGTTTCACTGAAAATGTGACTTTTACGCCCTCAAATTCTTTTTTTTTTTTTTTTTTTCAACATAAAACCCACCCTAATATCTTTTTTTCTACCAACAAAACCCAATCCTAACTACAATAATATTTAAAGTTCCTAATAATATATATCCTATTCAATTTCTTAAGTGTTATACTACAAAAGCACCTAAATTAAAGCTGACTTCATAACAATATATATATATACACAGCTGTAACACCCGTCCTTAAATGAATATTTAATTATTAATTTATCATAGTGAAGCCAATTTTGCCCCTAGCATAGTTTTATTGGAGGAAAGTTGAGTTTTTTTTATCAGAAGAATTTGGGAATTTCGATTTCCATTGTTTGTAGATCTCGACGAACGCGTCCGAGACTATGTATGGGATCCAATTGGAGCTATCAACGAAGAAAGTTAAGAATCAGAAATTCAGTGGCACAATCGTACTTTTTTGACTTTCAGCTATAACCACGGTAAAATTTACTCCTCTTGAATGTGCTTAATCATAAGATATGATTATGGCCGGTGGTTTTGGAGTTTTCCGATCGGCCTGAAAATTTCTCAATACCTCCGGTGGTGGTGGCGGCGCGTCGGCGGATGTCTAGAGTTGGGTCCTTTGGTCCTAGAATGTTCCCCACTGCGTTTTCGCGCACATGGTAGCTCATATTCCAATTTTAGTTGCCGTGTTTGATCGTCGATCGGAATATCCCCATATTAGGCTATATCCGGGTTCGATATGTTCTGGACTGTTGGATCGATTTCATTTTGGTATGGTGGACTAGATAATCCTAGGATTGTAGAGTCGACGGAATCGTAAATCGGAGTCCCAATCTCGAAAATGTCACCCTAGGGTTAGGTTTTTACAATAGTACCAATGGTCGATCATGGTCAATATGCCATCTGATCGGATCAAACTCTCGGGACATGTGTCCCTAGGTATATTGGAACCTCTAAGGAGCTTCCGATCGAAATTTAGAGGTGGGCCCCGAGTACCGCCTTGAACTTTTTTGGGACTTTAGCCTTTTTTTTATCCCGAGGCACTTCAACCCATTCCAATTAAGAAAGCTTTTTGTGGCATAGGCGCTTTGAAAGTGTGTGTGTGCCGCACT